GGGGGGGGGGGCCAGAGGCGGGAGGCTGGGCCCCGCGACCCCTGCCCGTCCCTCCTCATGCGAGGAAGAGGTTCTGCCCCCAGACTTGGGGCGCAGGCCCGCGCAGTCGCCACCTTTCCTGTCCTGACCCATCCTCGGGGTCCTGTCCAGTCCCGGGGACCCAGCGTGCGGGGCCTCTCTTCGGGAAACCACTGTCGCTGCCGACCCAAGGAAAGTCTTAAGCAAACCTGACTTTGCCAACTTGACAAAGCTGGAGAAATGCCCCCACTTTTCCAGTTTCGGGAGGGTGGGGTGTCCTGGGCCCTTCCTTCCCTGGTGAGGTCTGGGGTCTCCCCACGGGCCAGGCAGAAAGGTAGGGTGTGCTGTTTGCTGGGAGGTGGGCTGCATCTCTAGGTGTCTCCCAGTTGGTCTCCCTGCCAACAGCCCTCACTAGCACGTCTTTGTGCTTTCTGGCTCTCCCCTGCCACCCAGCCTCATTTTTCTCTTCCTTTCTCCCTTTCTTCTTTGCTGCCACTCCCCTTTCCTTGCCATGCTAGCCGCCGCCATCCGTGGCCCTGGAAAACCAGTGAAAAATCTACAGAAAGGTGGAGGACAAGTTTTCAGGGAGGGCTTTTTTTATTCTTCGGGGACAAAGCTGGGTTCCCTAAGGTGTCCAGGCTGTGTGGAGTCTAGATGCTTGATCAGAATTCTCAGGCAGAAGAGTCAGAGCCCCTTTTTTCTTCTGGTTTATCTGTAGCTCTTGGGGAAACCAACATCTTGGCTCAAAAGGAGGAAAACAGAATCCCACCCTTTTCTTCTACTGGAAAGAAACCCAGTGAATAAAATCCATCTCTTTTCACAAGTAAAGACTAGCACAGAAAGCAAGCAGAAAAACCAGTGTAAAAACAAAATCTTCTAAATCTGTTGTACCTTTTCTTTTCCAAAGCTAGCTGTAACTTCTCACTTGTTTTCCTTTTGATGAAGCTAACCACCGGCATTTCTCCTAAAGAAATGGATATTAAAAAAGTTCAGTGTGTTTAAAGTGGGGAGTGTTAGTTCCTAGGATATCTCTGGGCAATCCTATCCCCAGTTACCGGAGCAGAAACCCTGAGCTACAGATGGCACAGAAAATGTATGGAGCCCAGGCCATGAGGGGTCTATGGGAGGCTTGGGACAATGTTTAATAGAGGCCTATCACCATGAGGGGGGTGGATGAACAGATTAGAGGATACCCACACCATGGACTCTTATGCCATTAAAAAGGTGGGGGGGGGCAACATCATTTGACTTGGAGGGATGTCCTTGGGTATTGATGACATCATAACATTAAGAAGCAAAAAAATGTGTATAATTGGTCTCCAAATGTGTATGTGTGTGTGTGGTTATACAACAGAGTTGCCAGATAAAATATAAGATGTCCAGTTAAATTTTAATTTCAGAGAAACAAAGAATTTTTTTGTATAAGTATGTCTCGTGCAATTATTTTGTAGTTATTTTTGTCCCAAGCAATGAATTTTATTTGCTAAATTCGGCAACCCTATTATGTAAGGATGGAGGGAAGTATGGAAGGAAATTTCAAATTGTGGGAGGCAAGGAAATATGGCACTAGTAACACCCCCAGCAAGTATAAAATTCACTCAGCTTTGTAAAATTATGTGCTGTGTGCATATAGAGAAGAAGTTAGAAAAAACAAGATCTAGGTCTACTTTTTTGTAAGGAGTGTGCATCATATATTCAGTGAAAAAGGCAAATGGCAGAGTAATGAATATAGGAAGATGATATGTAGGAGAAAAGAAAAAACAATTCAAACCCCCCATAGAGGCTTGTTCATGTTTGTGTGAACAGAGTTAAAGCTTTGGAGGGACACCTACCAGGATACTGAAACTAGTATCTCAGGGTGTGGGACTGGGGAAGTGGGGTGGGTGTGGGGGAGGATGAGCTTTATCTTTATATTTGTTTGTATGGTATCATGTCAACTGGTTACAACAAAATCTAGTATTTAGTAGTATCTAGTACTTTTGTATTTTGAAAAACATCAAATAATGAAAGCTTTTTTTTTTTTTGAGTGAGGCATCCTGTTTGGGGCTTAAAAGCATAAGCTTTGGAACTATATACACATGTATTTTAGGCTGGATTCTGCCACTCTCTAGTTGTATAATCCTGGGGAAGCTACTCGACCTTTCTGTCTAGTTTCCTTATCTGTAAGATAGGGATAAAATACCTGCATGTTTTTTATAATGATTAACCATTTGTAAAGAGCTTCGCATTGTAACTGGTGCATAATGGTTAACTACCTCTAATACTAATTCTTATTATTATTGGAAAATAATCTAGGATGTAAAAAATCAGGCTATTGAGGCTGCAAATCCCGATCTGCTGGAGGTAAGATACCAACTGACTTAGTATCTTGACCAAGGCTCTCATCTCTGGGTGTGGATTGCCTTATCTACACTATGAGCTAGAGAGCTAGATTGGGTATGCTCTGTTCATTTGTTTGCTCCTCAGTTTTGGGGCATTTGCTGTGGTTATTCCCTGGGCTGGGAACTGGAGATACAGAGATGAAAGATCTGGCTCTGCCTTCAGAGGTGGGAGATGATGCACATATATAACCAGGTGATAGGTGCTATGAGAATGGATTTGGACACACAGAGAAAGAGGAGATAAAGATGTCTGAGAATATCCTGCAGGTCTTGGATTTCTTTAAACACTGTCCAGATGGCTCCCAGCCAGATGAGGAGAGAATGGAGTCTGGGTACCTGATGTTGGGTTAGGGTTGGCAGGGGAAGTAGGATGCCACACTGAGAACACCTCCTCAGAATGTCATAGGCTGTCTCGTGTTCTACAGGAGAGGAGGCCCTGAGCTTGCCATCAGACTTCAAAGGCAGATCCGTGGTTTTGTTTGTGCCTCTTGGTGTTTGCCGCGTTGACTTTTCAGAAAGAAGGGGAAATCTCCTTGTATTTTTCGTCTTTGGACGGACGTCTTTCTCTGCTGTGGAAGTGTGATCTTCAGCAGCCTGACTTGAAAGGGATGAAGGAGGAATATCTGGTTTCCCAACTGGAGAATATGTCACAGAATCTGAGATTGGACGGCATCTGTCCTGCAATTATGAGACATACTTCAAATTTTAAAATGACCTCAGCTTTAATGGTGGACAATACAATACGCAAGACAACCTGAAATATTCCCGCTCTGAAGTGCTGGATAAAATATGACATTCACTGAGCTGACTCTGCAAGAAAGCAAGCAAGCTCCATGTTCCAGGAATGAAGACCTGACCTGTTAAGCACATGAGCTGACACTTTAGGAGGAGATGTGGGGTCAATCTCGTATCTAAGAGCTTGGATAAGAGAAGAGTCCCATCCACACAAGATGTGGAATTGGAAGTAAGATTCCCCTTTCCCTGCATCAAGCTGGGAACCTTGAAGGCTAACCTCTGGTGGCTAAGAGAAAAGAATCAGCTAATTGGAAAAGGAAAGTGGCAAGAGAGCTTGTCTACCTTGGACTAGAAATTGAGGGTGCGGAAGCAAAACCGACACTCCTGAAAACTCAAAATCCGAGGCTCATGCCATTCTTGTATTTGGGGTTCAGATTTACAAAATCCTCATGCTCTGGGAATACCCAAGCAGAAGAATTAATGTAAAATTTGGGATGTATGGCAGTTCAGATAACAGAACTATAGGAGAGAGACTGTAAAATAAATTAATTAAAAATGATTCAAACAAGAGAAAAGAATACGACCCTATGAAGAAAAGAGTAGGTGAATTTGAAAGAGAGGTAAACAGAACTTCTTGAAATGAAAAATACAGACACTGAACCTCAACGGATAGGCTCAAAGATAGCAAGCTAGATTTGGCCAAGAAAGAATGAACTTGAAAATAGGATTTGAGGAAATTATTCAGAATATAGGAGAGAGGAATAGAAAATGTGAAAGGTTAAGGGACACGAGGATAGAACGAGAAGGCCTGATGTACATCTAATATGTTCCACAGAAAGAGCTGGGAGAACATGGAGGGGTTAGGGAATATTGGGGATTCCAAGAGATTATAGCTGAGACTTTTCAGAACTGATTACGGCAGAACTAAATCTTTAGATTTGGGCAGGAGAAATTCTGAAGAAGAAAGAAAAAAATAAACACACTTGAGCATATTGTTTTAAGCAGGATGAATAAAAATAAATCTTCTCTTGGATGCATTGCAGTGAAACCAGGAAGATCAAAGGCAAAGAGGATCTTGAAATCAACCAAAGAAAAAGGGTTATCCACAAAGGAATGGCAGTTACACTGAGAGCAGACTTATCAACAGCAATCATGGAGGTGGGAAGACGGTGGAATAAACTTCAAAACGCTAGGAGAAAATAACGGTTAACATAGAATTGGATACCCAGTTAAACTACCATTCGATAGTGCAGGAAAAAAGTACCTGTGCAGGCAACTAAAAATTTACTCCTCACAGTTTCTTGCTGAGGGAACTACCTAGACGTGTATTTCAGGAAGAGAGAAATCCTACCCAGACGGAAAGCTTGGGATTTAAGAAAGAACGTGAGCAAAGAGAAAGGTAAATGTGTGAGTATATCCAAGCAGGCATGAATTGCATAAAATAACAGCAATAATAATGACTAAAGAGGGATAGTATGAAAACAAGGTGAGGGGTTTCCCTGGTGGCGCAGTGGTTGAGAGTCTTCCTGCCAATGCAGGGGACACGGGTTCGTGCCCCGGTCCAGGAGGGTCCCACATGCCATGGAGCGGCTGGGCCTGTGAGCCATGGCCGCTGGGCCTGCGTGTCCGGGGCCTGTGCTCCACAGCGGGAGAGGCCACAGCAGTGAGAGGCCCGCGTACCGCAAAA